CGCCTCTCTCCCGGGTAAAGGTGCGCTGCAGGGCAGGGCGGGGCGGGGGTCCTCACCGCAGCGCCCAGCGAGGGACCGGGGCGTCCCAGGCGCGCCCCCAGAATGCCGCGGAAGGCTGGGACTCCGTGTCCTGCCAGGAGCCCGACCGTAAGGTGCCAGCGTGGACACTGTTAGGGCATTCATTCCCCATATGGAGAAACTGAGGCACGGAGTGGCCAGCGGGCCACCACTAGGCACAGCGTTGGAGTTAGAACCCGGATGGCCAAGCCCTGGCCTGGCTGGTGGTCCTGCGGCCCCGCCTCCCACAGTGTGTGTGTGTGTGTGTGTGTGTGTGTGTGTGTGTGTGTGTGTTTGTATTCGGGGTGGGGGTGGGGCGTATACACGCAAAGCCAAATCTGAATTCCTGAGGGCAGTACACCCAGCCTTTGCCCTGTGTGGAGAGGATCAGGGCGCTAGTGTAGACATGATCAAGAAGGGTGCTCATGATTTTGGAGATTAGTTTTGGTGGGAGAAATAGCTTCCCTAGCCTTTTACAAAAGAAATAGGGGTCTTGCTTAAGAAGTCTTTGCCTACCCCAAAGTCTCCCAGAGTCGCCAGTGTTATAAAAGTATTAAAAATTGTAATGGACACTAGAGACAAAGTGGAAAGAGAGTGTGGAAGGGGAAAAGCATAGGAAATTTGGGGGGGAAATGGAGAGGTAAGACACTTGTGGGACACAGACAAGGTTTATTATCTGTTGATGAGGATGTGTATGGTGGTCTCAGCTGGGCTGGTCTGAGGTTTAAATCATGCTGGGTAAAGTCTCTTCACAATCTAAATGATGTATAGCGATTTAACGTGTGCACAAAGAAAAAAAGAAATGGGTACTGGGAGAGGTTGTGAGGTGGCCTCTTGATGGGCCAGGTAGGTGCGTTCCCTATGGGATGGAGGGGGACGTCCTGCTAGGGGTGTGTGTGTGTGTGTAGGGGTGTGTGGGTGCCAGCCCCTGCTCTGTCCTGGCCTCCACTGCTGCACAGAAAGACAGCTCTTGGAATCAGAGGTGTGTGTGAAATCGGATTTCTAAATCTCACTGGTGAATGCACTAACAAACAAACAAAGGGTTTTCTGGGCTAAACTGACAATGTTTGGGAGGGGCCCACCTGTGACCTTTGTCCTGGTGCTTAAAGGTGTGGAAAGATAAGTTCTGAGAGGCCACAGCAGAGATGTGTAAATCTTACCAGGGGCAGAGAAAGTACGGAGGATTCCAGGTGAATGCGATCACTCTGAATCTTAAGAGACTTCCCTTTTCCGTTAGTATTTAATTAATTAATTAAGATTTTTGCCAAAGGTGTCTGAGTTCCCTAGGAAGAGACAGAAACAGAGATAGAGGAAGTGAGAAATCTCCTCCCAGGGGAAATGGCCTCTCTGCAATCCCTTCTCCATTCTCCTCTTGGGAGAGTAGACGTGCTTGCATACACATGCGGTGTGATTTTCAAGCTGCTGGGTCCGGGCTCAAACTGTGGTCAGCCATGTGGGAGTCCAGCACCTTAACCATTAACACCATCTGCTGGTCCCTAGCATTAATTTTTTAAGAGCAAGATATGGGACCAGCAGATGGCGTAATGGTTACATAGCTGTACTCCCAGGTACTTTAACACGGTTTAAGTCTTGGACTTGCCATCCCGGACTCAGCTGCTTAAAACTTACACTAGGTGTGTGCGCATATGTGCTCAAAATCCCAAGAAGAGAATGGAGGAGAAGGGACTGCAGTCCAGCCATTCCCCTGGGGGGTGATTTCTCACTTTCTGTCTCTCTTTGTCTCTCTGCTGAGCACACGTGCCCTGTAGCAAAAATCTCAAAAAACCCCAAAACCCAGGATCTATGAAGGTCTCTGTTAGCTCTGAAGCCCTCCTTACAAGCTCATCCAATCAGGAGACTAAGCTGCTGTTACTGAAGGGCTTCTCTCCCCCTGTCTGCACCTCCTGGGCCAGCCTGAGTGCTTACAGGAAACCAGGGCTCCAGGGTGGCATTGCCTTCCCTGTCTTGGCAGCTGGGCTTCTCGTAATCAGTGCTTGTATTGAGGACAAATCTGATTCTCATAGTTGTGATGGGGGTGAAAAGGGGGCTACACTCCCAGCCCTCTAAGGTCTGTCCATGCCCTCCCTCCTCAACCACGTCCCTGTCATTTAAAAGACAGCGTTGGGGTGGGAAGGAGAAGCAGGAGAGGACTCCCTCTCAAGCTGACACGCCTGGAGAGTTCAGGAAGCTGAGCTACTTCCCGAGCTCAGGAGCTGAGGTTATAAACATTTCTTCCACAGCAGAAGTTACTATGTTCTAACTGCTGAAATGATTCTTGTAAGGAAATGAAACAAACTTTCTTTCCGATCAGGGCAGGTGTAATACCACTTTGTCCCCATGGTATGGAATTTTTATTATTATTATTATTATTGCTATAGGATTTGTGTACTCACCAGAAAGACAGAGACAGAGACAGAAAGTGAGAAATCACCCCCCAGGGGGGATAGCCACGCTGCAATCCCTTCTCCATTCTCCTCTCAGGGTCTTGGGTAAGCATACACCTGCTCCCAGCATGAGTTTTAAGCTGCCACTCAGGGACTCGAACTTCAGTCGACTGTGTGGGAGTCCAGTGATATAACTGTGACCCCATCTGCTGGTCTCTAGAAAACCCTTTCTAGGAGGGGTGTCGGGGCACTGGTGTGGAAGCCAGCCGTGCATACCTAGCGTAGCAGAGCCTAGGGTCTTCTCATCCTAGGAATAAGAGGTCTCTGCATCTTCTAAGAGGACTTTATGAGACTTGGGCTGTCCCTCCTTTTTTCCTCAGAATTCACAGATGAAAAGCTGCGTATAAACCAGGGCTAAACTAAAAGGTGCTTGGATATTTTACAGGTGGACTTTTAGCTTCTCCAAAGGTTTCCCTGTGAAATTAATGTCTTTGGTTATCTTCAGGCGTATGGGAAGTACAACTCATTTTGTCCATGCGTGTAGCTTTTCAAGACCATGGCTACTAGGTAAGCAGGTAATGCCCTTCATCTCTCCATTTCCGGGTGGCTTCTGCCATGTTCAGTCCTTCAATGATGTCAGCCCTGTCATCATATGATTTTATCACCACGACACTGGTGGGGAGACAAATCTTCTTTTATTTCATTTTATTTATTTATTTACTTATTTTAATTTGACCAGAGACGACAGAGCGAGAGAGAAAGAGACAGAGAGAAAGTAAGAAAGCAAGCCGCCAGGTCTGGGACTTGAACCGTGGTCAGCCATGTGAGAGTCCAGCATCCTTAACCATCTTGCCACCTGCTATACCTGGTGGAAGGACAGATCTTGACCACTGGAAGAGTGCAAGAGGCCAAGAGAAGGAAAGAGGAAGAGGCATTCAGTCTGGAAGCAGAGACTCTGGGCCAGGGCCTAGGAGCCAGGAGGTGTTTTGGCAGACCCAGGACACAAGACAGCTAGATCAGGGACAAGCTGGGCTGAGTTCTTGTCCCGTCCCTTGGGCAGCTTTTACACAGGCCTGCCCCTCCGCTGCTTCTCATAGCCCATCTGCCCAGACACATCCGGGGGATGCCTGCTCACAATTTCTGAATGTGAGGACTGAAAGAAGGTGTCAGAGTCCGGGTCATGCTCTCTTAGAGCCTTTCGCTCAAAGTGAGGTCAGAAAGCCTCCTGGGGGCTCGTTGAAAATGCAGAATCTCACTACCCCGACTAGCTGTATGGGACAGGATTTTCAGTGGTTCCTACGCACCTGTGGGGAGTCACAGGTCTAAATACAGTCAGGTGTCACTCATCGTCATTACGTGAGCACCGTGGGGTGTCTTTACACAACCCTAGACAGGATAGCCTCCTACAGCCCTGGGCTCTGTGGTGTAGCTCAGTGCACCTAGGCTGCCAAGAAGTACAGCGTGTTAAGGGACCAGAGACTGTAGGCAGTTGTGACACGGTGGTGAGCGTTTATATATCTGAACATGTCTGCGTGTAGAAAAGGTACAGTAAAAACACACTGTGAGGGACCAGCGTCATGATGGAATGGTTATGTTGTTGAACTCCCATGCAGTCAACAATAGTTCAAGTCCCAGACCTGGCAGCTTAAAACTCAATGCTGGGCACCTGTGCATATGTGCCCCAAATCTCAAGAGGAGAACAGAGGAGAAGGGATTACAGTGTAGCCATCCTCCTGGAGGGGTGATTTCTTGCTTTCTGTCTCTCTGTCTCTCTGGCAAGCCCATGTACCCTATAGCAAAATATCCTCTTAAAAAAAAAAATAAAGACAGTATGAAAGATTAAAAAGTCAGCGCCAGCAGGTGGTATAGTGGTTAAGGTACTGGACTCCCACATGGCTACTGTGATTTGAGTCCTGGACCCGGAGGCTTGAAACTGATGGTGGGTGTGAGTATGTCCTCGTGCGCCTAAAATGTAAGAAAAGGGCCTGTGGCATGGCCATCTACCCTTGGGAGATGATTTCTCACTTTTTCTCTCTCTGTCTACTGCACACACCCTTCAGCAAAAATCTCTCTGAAAAAAAAAATAATTAAAAAACGGCATAGCTGTATAGGTCACTTATCTAGGGGAGAGCTTTCAGGGCTGGAAGTCGCTCTGGTGAGTCAGTGAGGGAGTGTGAAGGCCTAGGACGGTACCTGAACACGGCTGTAGAGTTCATAAACACCATCTCCACATCTTGTAAAAACCCACTTTGTGGTAACGTGGTGGCTCTATGGACTTGAGAGTACAAGTTTACTTTAGAGAGTTCTGGTTCTAGGTGAACCTTGGGTCAAAAAAAGCTAATGTAACCCAAAGATATTGAGCCTGCTCCAAACTTTCTCAGTTTATACATTTTTTAAAAGAATTATTTTATTTAACTTTATTTATTTATTTATTTTCATTTGACCAGAGAGAGACAGAGCGAGAGAGATAGAAAGTGAGGAAGCAAGCCACCAGGTCTGGGACTCAAACTGCAGTTGGCTCTGTGGGAGTCCAGCGCCCTTAACCACCACACCATTTACCGGCCCCACTCAGTTTATAAATTAATCTGAACTTCCTGTAATTGTTTTACTTTATAAGCTTCTCTCTCATTCTTTTTTAGTTTTTTTTTTTTAATTTTTTATTTAGTTTTTTGCTATAGGGTATATGAGCTTGTTAGAGAGAGAGGGAAAGTGAGCAATCACTCCCCAGGGAGATGGCCACACCACAACCCCTTCTCTACCATTCTGCTCCTGGGATTTGGGGTATGCGCACACACACACACACACGCACACACACCACACCTGGCGTGGTTTTTCAGGCCGCCAGGTCCGGGATCTGAACTATTTGCAGGATAGGAATCCAGTGCCTTAACCACTACACCACCTGCAGACTCCAGCTTTTCTTTTCTTTTCTTTCTTTTTTTTTTTTGAGTTATTGACTCTTGTAGTAATACATACTATATAGCTACAACTTTATCTTCTTTCCTTTTATCTTTGTAAGCTTTTTTCAATATTTAAAATAGTTTATTATTTTTCTTTTTTTAATTTTTATTTTTTATGTATGTATTTATTTTATTATTATTTTTTTTGGAAAGGTTTTTGCTATAGTGCATGTGTGCTTGCCAGAAAGAGACAGAGACAGAAACTGAGAAATCACCTCCCTGGGGGGATGGTCATGCCGCATTCCCTTTTCATCCATTCTCCGATTGGGATCATGGGCACACGCACACACACGGGAGTCCAGCAACATAGCCATTATGCCAACTGCTGGTCCCTTGGAGAGGTTTTCGCTATCGGGCGCATGTTCTGGCCAGACCCAGGAGAGGATGGCCACGCTGCAATCCCTTCTCCTCCATTCTCTTCTGGGGATCTTGGGCATGCATACACATGTGCCCAGGGTGAGTTTAAGCCATTGCGTCTGTACTCAAACCATTGTCTACTACATGGGAGTCCAGAAACATATCCATTAAGCCAACTGCTAGTCTCAAAATAATTATTTTGACTACATTTTTTTTAAGTTTTAAAATATTTTTGTTAGAAACTAAGGCTCCCACACATTAACCTAGGCCTACATAAAGTCAGGCTCATTGAAATCACTGTTTTCCATCTCCACATCCTACCCAATGGGTGGGCCATGTTGAACAAAATGAGATTAAACCAAGCACGAGAGTAAATGATACAATCCAGAGATGTGGCGAACACAGGCTGTAGGAGGTGCTTCTGCATAACACAGCATACTGTTTATAGTGCATTTTAAAAAGGTTTTTGCCATAGGGTATGTGCACTCAGTGGAGAGAGACAGAGAGAAAGAGGAATGAGAAATCAGCCCCTGGGTGGATGGCCACACCGCATTCTCTTCCTCATTCTTCTCTTGTGATTTTGGGCACACACACACACACACGCGCGCACGCACCCTGCATGATTTTCAGACTGCTCAGTTCGGGGCTCAAACTACAGTCAACTGTATAGGTTTGGTACCTTAGCCACCATGCCACCTCTTGACCCCTATAATATATTTTTTTAAATGAGTAGAAAGAATACATTCTGAAATAATGATGATAATATAATACATGAAGCAGTAATTGATTGATTACATTGTCATGTATTATGTGCTATATTTACTTGTATGTGCTATACTTTTTTCTGAGAAATATTTTTGCTATAGGGGGCATGCACTTGTTGGAGAGACAGAGACAGAGAGACAGAAAATGAGAAATTATTCCCCTGGGGGGATGCCTACCCCACAATCCCTTCTCCTTCATTCTCCTCTCAGGATCTTGGGCACGCATGTACATGCACCCATCATGAGATTCAATCCTTAGGTCTGGGACTTGAACTGTGGTCGATGACGTGCAGGTCCAGTGGCATAACCATTGCTGGTCCCTTACTTGTATGTGCTATACTTTGATATAACTGACAGTGCAATAGGTTGTACCCCAGTGTCACCACCAACACATGACTAATGTGTCACAGTGCTGTGACAGAATAGCAACAGTGTCCTGGGTGACACATTTTTCAGCTACAATATAGTTTTTTTGGAGAGGTTATTTTTGCTATAGGGTGTGTGCGCTCACCAGACAGACAGAGAGAGACAGAGAGACAGAAAGCGAGAAATCACCCCCCCCCCCCCGGGGGATGGCCATGCTGCAATCCCTTCTCCTCCACTCTCCTCTCAGGATATTGGGCATGCACGCACACACGCCTGGCATGAGTTTAAGCCACCGTGTCTGGGACTTGAACTACGGTCGACTACATGGGAGCCCAGCGAAGTAGCCATAATGCCAACTGCTGGTTGGAGCTCCAATATAGTCTTAAGGGACCACTGTCGTATATGTAATCTCTCATTGACTGAAAGGTCAGTGTGAGGTCTGGTTGTTTGAAAGGTCATTTTGAGGTGCATGACTCTTTATCAAAAAGAGGAGAAATGACGGGGACTGGAGCACAGGAGATGTCGCACCTCTCTTGGGACTCCAGAGAACTTGTAAAACCCTGACATTGTCATAATACAGTGCATCTATGGATTTGAGAGTATGATTTTACTTTAGAGACTTAAGGTTGTAGATGATCCTTGGGTCCAAAAAAGCTTATGTAACCCAAAGATATTGAGCAATTCAGCCTGTTCTGAACTTTCTCAGTCGAGTTCCTTGAGCAGCTATTTTTAGTGTTTCTCTCTGGAAGGAAAAAGAGTGTGTTGGTGCAAAAGGAGAGTGCGGATGGAGTTCTAGGCCCAGCCGAGTCTCTAAGGAGGGGCACCATCTCAGCCTGGCCAGGTAGCCCATGGGTATGTGGTTCTCCATTCTTGCCCACCCCACGGCAGGGCAGTGCCCGCCCTGTTCTCCTGCCATTTCCCACCTGCAGGGCACACTGCTTACTGACCCCAGAGATGGCGCTCAAGGTCCATCCATCTGTCTATCCATATCTCCTGCAAATTCCTGGAATTCTTTGATTTATTCATTCTCTAATTGCTTCATCTTACTGCCTCATCTGGTCCCCAAACTTAATGTCCCATGTGTATTGACTTTCTAGAGCAATTACCTAAGCACGCCAATGATGTGTGTTCATATCAGATGGTTTATTTAGAGCCATCATGGCTGAGAGTCTGTGATGTCCCTGACACTTACCAAACACTTCATACCCACTCTCCTCATAGGAATCCAGCCTGCAGGTGGTTTATCTCAGTCTTGCTCAGGGTCACATGGGGCAAATAATCCCAGATTCCTGCCCTTTCCCCTTCTCTGGCTCAGCGTTAGCTCAGATGCCCTGTCACACACAAGAGGACACGTGGCTGGGACTTTCTGGTCTCTGCCTGGCTTTGTGCAGAGGGGATTGCCTGAGCCAGGTGAAAGGCCACTGATGCAGGAGAGCTCAGACTTGCCTCTCTCGTGATGAACTAGTAGAACGTGTGGCCGGGGCTGCTCCCTAGTCTGTCATAAGTCAGAACTTCATCAGAGGGCCAGGAAGACCCCTCCACTGCTTCTATTTACGTATTACATAACTGCTGCCCCGCTCTTTCTGTGACAGGAACTTCCCACTGGCTGGCTGCTGTAGGCCATGCCCATGGTGGAGCTATGGTTATCTCTCAAAAGGAGACCCTTCCTCCGAACTCTAGGAGGAGTAACTTTTGGGTGGAAATGCCCTTACACTCACTAAAACACTTTCTCTGAAATTTTCTCCTAAGGCCCGCCAGGATGCCCATCATGGTGGATGACATCATGAAACTGCTGTGTGCCATTTCTGAGCAGAGGAAAATGCAGGCGGCTGTCAAACACTCTGGAAAGGGCGCCCTGGTCACCGGGGCCGTGGCCTTTGTGGGCGGGCTGGTCGGTGGCCCACCGGGACTAGCCGTTGGTAAGTGCCATCGTAGGAACAGCCTGTGGGTATCATAAAAGGGCCTTGGAAACCGCAGGAAGGAACAGCCTCCTAAAAGTGGTGCCCGACAGCAACGCCCTATGTGAGGAGTTTATGGTTACATTTGCTCCTATGAGATGATTCCTGTATAGAACTTGTCCTTTTTTAAATACTCATTTCTGGGGGCCAGCAGGTGGCATAGTGGTTAAGGCACTGGACTCCCACATGACCGACTGTAATTCGAGTCCTCGACCTGGCAGCTTGAAAATAATCCTGGGTACATGCGTGTGCATGCCCATAATCCCAGAAAGAAAATAGAGAAGGGATTGCAGTGTGGCCATCCTCCCGGGGGGTGATTTCTCAGTTTCCCTCGCCCTGTTTCTCTATCCCTCTTTGGTGAATTCATAGGCTGTAAGACAAAAACCTTTAAAAAAAAAAAAAAAGAAAGAAAAAAGACACATATTTTCTATGTGCACATCTCAGGAGCACAACGTGTTCTGGACAAAGGCATCTGTGCCATCCAGGCACCTTTCCTCAGGGCTGGAAGGCCAAACTGAACACTCAGGGTGCTGGCCCTGCCCTTCCCCCAGTTTGTCCCAAAGTGTCACCACCACCATCGTTACCACATGACTTCAGACGGGAGCCAGGGAAGAAGTTCGGGTTGCTGAGCATGTAGTGTGAGCAGACGCTGTGTGGCCGTTTCCCAGAAGCCACTCACTTAGAAGGAAGTCCCCTTCCTGAATGCCAAAGTCTAACGCAGAAAAGCAACACCGATGAGAAAACTGCTGTCTCCCGGACCATGTATCCCTGCCCGCTGGTTTAACTTCCTGCTTCTGTTTGGGAACTGGTGTCTGCCATGAGTGAAGGATTCAGTAACGTCCCCGTTGTTCTTTGCAGCTCAGATGAAGTACTTCCTCTGGGTCAGTGGCAGGAAGAAACCTGGTCCCAGACCTTGAAAGACCTGCCTGTCCTAGAGCTGTGGCCCACAGGCCAGTACGGAGTCAGAGACCTGGCCGCCATTCAGACCTGACTGGGGAAGGGGCTCGCTAAGGCCTCCCTTGAAGTGGCCTCAGACAGATCCCACAATGCAGTTTAGCTAAGTGTTCTCATGACAGCAGGAGTTCTCTGCCACACAGGGCGCTGTGGGTATTTACCAAGTGCCTGCACCATACTGGATTTGGGGGCCTCGGCGGGCTCACAGTTTGGTGGAAGCCTGCCTGTATGGCTTGCAGCCTTCACGTGAATGTAGCCTGGAGAGGGAAAC